GTTTGAACATAATCCTCTCGCGCATGACATATTTGTTATTACCGATGCAAAATCGTTACGTCATTTTTCAGTCGAAAGTTGGTCAAGCAATTTCGTTTTATATTTCATAAACAATTCGCTTTCCTGTGGCAATATTTGCGTGTTACGAATGTCTAAAAGAATTTGGATTTCATGAGGTTCGAAATAAAAGTAATATGAACTTGTATTAAGTTTAAAAAATCATATGATAAAAAGAAAAACTGTAAACCCGATTTTGAGCGCTTAACCTTGAACAATACTAAAATTGATATATTGTTTATTTTGCAAAGCTCATGAATAAAAAGTTTCATAATCTTCATTAACATTCTTAAATTTCCGCGGGAGCGTCGATTTTAGTATCGAAAATTTGACTTATACCGTGCTTTTGCAGTGAAATCGATTCATTTAAAAATTGTAGCAGTAGAACTAAAAAGCCCGTCCAAAAATATTATTAGCTCCTTATATATCAACAGATACTTGTAATAAGCCATATTCAGAGCGGACGACTTGAAAGCGTCGCTCGAATATATGTATTTAATACATTTGAATTTGCCAATGCAGGAAAATGAAGATAAATTCTTATTATATACCAACCAGAGGGGGGCAAATTGCAGGCCGGATCTGGCCCATTGAAGTGTTTTATCCGGCCAACTAGTGTCTGTTTAATTTACAACCACTGTCCTTATGAATATAAATTCACGTTGAAAATATCGATGAAAATAACGTCATAATGATCCCGATTGTTACATCGTGAATACATCTTTCTGTTTATAGTATTATAGTTTCGAGCAGCCCAGTAATCAAGTCTATTATATGTAACTGGCCCACTTAGAAAGAAAAGTGATTGCTCACCACTTTTATATACCGTATTTGCTAAATTTTATCGTTAAAGGTTATCTATAAAATTAACTTAAACTAAGGATGAGAATGTATTATGACTTTCAATTAAAAAAACAAGATTATTGAATGAGTATAAAGATATCTGTAATTTCGTTCATCAAGTTATTTCTCAACTGTCTCAAGTATTTAAAGCAGTCTTCGTTTGCTATTGGTTAATTCGTGTATCGACTCTCCTCTGCCTCTTGATATTATTTACATATCTACTCCACTCAAATTTACTGAAAATTGTTTATAGTTCACACCAGACATAAAAAACCAATCAAGCGTAACACCACAATGTCGGCAGAATCCGAACAAATGCAATCATGCGGAAAAAGACAATTTATCATTCTGCCTATAAATACGAATTTCCTTTTTTATGAAAAATATTTGGTCTTTGTTACGGAAAGATTGCTAGTTAAGAGACTCTTGATAGAAAATAGGTTAATTTCAAGTCATAATCAGGAATGAATATATGGTCCCAATTTATATAGGCTTCAATGAAGGCTGGCTAGAGTATTTGGATTGGTAGATCAAGAACAGGAATAAATATATGTCTATGATTATCATTTGAATGACCTACTATGTAGAAGACTATTGGGCTGACATATAGACTGCAGGTTAGGAATAAAGGTGGATATATGGTCCCAATCATCATTCGACTCGCATCCTCCGTAGAGTCATTCCAGTTAGGCATTGCCTACAATATTTATCACGCTCTCGATGAGATGATGCACGCGGGATTTAAATCCGATATTTTTACGTGATGATGCAATAACATCATAGTTGAGACATGTTTCCTAAAAATTTATTATCGCGTAGGAAATGGCCACGTAGAAATACTTTGAGAACCTGTGGTTTGGTTCTTAAACGCAACGTTTGTCCGATTCCACATGTCGTCTTAAATATTGTAATAAATTAAAATTAACGACTTAATCCACGGTTACAATGGGATCATTGTATATGTGCGGATGGGATTTGTCTTATTCCGCATAATCCTTTCTACTGTGCGGACGCATCAAGCTTAACCACGTTGTCGTCGCATGTTGATTGCCTGACTTAACCCATCTTAAATGAGGTACAATTATTGCGGTGTTTCCCAACCTTTATGTAGTAATAAATTATATCAAATTTGGCCCCTGTAACGCGTTGCCGGGCCCCCTTAGACACGCCCTGAGTTAAGGTCAATATCTGTCAGGCCAGAAGGAATGAATTTAGTCAAAAGGACCAAACGACTTTACTTAGATTAATGCTAATTTGTTTCCATACGGCGAACTCTGTTCACTTCGGCTGTTCTTATATAAGTGTGCACAAAGCGATGTCCCGAGCGACGATACAACAGTGGTTCAGAATTTTTTTTCTTTCGCTATTTCAAACTTGAAGATTTATAATTTTCGCAATCCCTAGAAACATGGTTTAGGAAACCTTGCATTAATCTAATCTGGTATTTACATGTCTGTAAATAGCTTCAATAAGTTTGCTAAAAGCTATGTTCCAGGCCTTTGCCTAAGTGGGGATATTGTGACGATAAAGAACTGTCGTGGTTCTGAGGAAGTTTTATCCTATTCCACTTCTTTGGGATCATCAACCGAATCCCGCACCCCCATTCTAAAATCCCAGAAAAATAGTAGTAAGGGTTAGTAAACCACTAATACTGGTTAGATGGCGGCCGTAAATCTGCTCAAGGAGGTTACTGGGGTTTACCTAAGTGGAGATATAGTAATGATACAGAACTGTGGGTTCGTTAACAACAGTTAAAAAATAGCACGAGGGAAATTCAGGACAGGGTCAAAATTTCAAATGAGGCTTGAAAAATTATATATAAAAGCATTGTGTGGGCTATCTCATCATGTGACGTATAAGATAATACCCTCTCATGAGTGTGAGTTCGATTCAAAAGATGACCTGTTCCTAAAGCTTGGAATTCCATCATATTTGAACTCAATCCTAATCCAAACCTTGGCGACCCTCATCTAATGATTTGGAATTCTAATACAGCTATACTTAACAGGATTACACCCGATCAGTCAATTAGAAAGCGTATGTGGATCATGTTACATAGAAAAACAACGGTATCAGTTTAGAAATAATGAGTCACGAGGGATTCAGATTTGGTTTCTAAAACTCCATTCTGCGTCCAAATGCCGCGATGGTAATTTAAAAACAAAATCGATGCCTAAATATATGGACACGAAGGCCTATCGAATTACATGCTTTGTTGAACGATATTCACTTTGGATATATATGGATAATTTATGTCAGTGTTTACCAATGAATGCCAAAGTTGGGGTTTTGTTGGTTATTCACGTTTTTTTGCGAGGTTTTCTGCGGTTTTGGGTATTTTTCCGCGGTTTTTGCAGTTTCCCAATGTGCGTCAAAGCGCCCCAAAGTTGGGTTGCTCAAAAGGTTTTGGGTCACATGTTGTTTTACCATAAACATATGTAAAATGACTGATTTGATTTTTCTTCCATGAAATCACAATTTTCTCTTTGGAATTTAAGTAAATCTTTGGGTCGCGAGATTTCATTATATTTATTTTTCAACGCATGCGTTGCCTGAAAAGCCTTTTAGTTCGCATGTTTTTCACCTATTTAATATTACTGACATACATATTATGCATACATTTTAAAATATTCAGCTTAAGTCAAAATTTGATGCTCCGAGATGCAGTAGGTACATGCGAGTCGGTGTTTAGTAATTAGGTTTAAAGTTCGTCCCGAATATTACTTTAGACAAGCGACAACTGACATAATTTAGATGTTTCATAATGTCGTAAAGGACTACAGGAGGGCCAGATACAAGTAACTGGGTTAAACCGCGGGCCGCACCTTTATTTAACATGGGCTTTATAGTAGTTACAGGCACAAAAATATTGATTATTGGTCTTATGACATGCGTTTTTCGCTTTGCACAAGCTAGCTGTTAAGGCATTGTAACTTCATAGGCATCGATAAAACATAAAAGTACCGCATCATAAAGGTGTGTGAAATGATTGATTTGTATTACTAATTCAATAATTTTGCTCCATTAAAAGCTTTATTTACTACTTTTGTATTTGAGCATATTCTTAGGTCGCTAGATTTCATTATATTTTTTGTTCAGATTTAGTCGCTTGAGTAAATTTTTGAATCCACTGTTTATATTATAAACTGTTATTTCAGAATGTATCAAGATACTGAATTATTATTTATTATCTTGTTCCGAATGATTACCGCGTTGTCAGATTATTTTAAAGAATTGCAACAGATGTCATATAACAGTGTTGAGTGTTCCCCCCTAAATGAAAAACAGCAACATTTGGAGTGAATGTCGGGCATGGAGATTTTCTAGCAACGATTCCCCGTTATATTGTAACAAATTGTCATATTGAGGCGTGCATCAGATATCACGAGACCCGAAAAAAAGCCTTCTAGTGTTATTTTCCGTCTTTGGGTACTGAAATCCTAGTATTTAAAACGACCCAAAGATACAGGTTGGCGTCCTGAAATTCTATTTAAAGCCGTATTACAGTGTTTTGAATTTAAGAACAGCAAATTTGTGGGTGTAATATCGTACTGGTAGGATTCGAAATCGAAAAGACTATTAAAAATATAGCAAAACAAAACCATATGTAAATTTCGTGCCCAAAAGTACTTAAGCGTGCATGTGAGACGTGTGTGTCACGTAATGAGCGATGTGATCTCATACGATGACAATTTTAATCGACACGCTCTACTTCGTCATAAGTGCAGGTCTTATGAGACAACAATATGTGGATCGAAAAACAATGTATTGTTGTCATCTTAATGGTTCTTCTGTGGAAATTTGACCCATACCTCGATATTGCGATATTTTTCATATCTTTTTCAAGTGAAATTCCGCCCACAGGAATTTCTACCTGGAAATTTGTGAAACAAGTATCAGAACTCGACAACAAATGAAGAATTGAAAAGTCTTTCTCATCGAGATAGAGTTTACATTTCGTCAAATAAATATACCTAGTCCCAACCTGGATTGGTGGGTGACTGAAATGCTGTGGTTCATCATATAATCCAGTTGTTTTATTGGCTTCCCTCTTCTCGGATAAATTTTAAAATTCTATTCTAAATCATGTGTTTTTTAGATATTTTTTTATAAAATATAATTCTTATATGGCGTGGGTTTCTAGTTAGACTGTATATATATTATTACGTCTACGAAGTACATGTTACATCACAAAGGAAGTACATTGCAATCAACTTCGATACTGATAAGCCAGAAAGAAAATAATGGAGGGACAAAGGCGCGTTTGCATTTTGGAAAGAGGTTAGTGAGGTCATAATTGATTGTATATTTGAATAAGTATAGAACAATGGAAGTTTTTAATTCAATTCATGTGTAACAATGAGATCTCTATCTATGAATAGAAATGAACGATTTGCCTTGGGCGAGTAAACGAAGATATTTGATTCGTCAGATAAGGCGCCATCCCGTAGGTAGCATAGCCATAAATAATGTGCAACGGCAACCAAGAATATCGAATGTTTGCTACTAGGCTTATTCATTACATGAAAGCGATGCTCAAATATGTGGAAACGAAAAATAAAACGCAGTATTACGGGTATGCAATCTGTCACAGTAGACTACGGGCACTACAGTGTTCACGACTTCGTTTGACAGTGTTCACGACTTTGATTGACAACAACGCCAAATCAGAATCTCCACGAGTTGCGCAATTTTTAATTTTGATAACGTCATCGCAGACAAGAAAACGAATTCATACAACCCACAGAAAATTCCAGAATAACTAAGAGTAACAATATTTTAGAGAAAAATACCTACTTTGATCACTGAACAGTTCAAAGCAATTGGTCCAGTGGCTAATAAAGAAAATGATTTTTTTAGTAACAACATGAACATAAAAGATAATTCAAACAACAACATACCATTAAAACAAACTACAGGTCCACGTTGTGTCCAATAACGCCTGCACAGATAATAAAAAGACAAACAAAATAGTTGAGCATTACTGCAGTTAACTATGTCAGCATCAAATGTTCAAGAACTCGGGGTTAAACCTCATTTACACTATTCTCTCCCAGTATGTAATGAACGAAGTAGCCTATATCTAGGCTTACCATACACGTTCCGGTTTAGTCGGGACAGTCCCGGCGTTCCGCCCAGTAGACTCAAATGTCCCGGTCATGTCATATGGTATTTCACAATCACGAGTTCAGTGAGAGCGAGAGAACCAATATATATTGTTATGTCATAATTAATATATGTCCACTACGTCAATTTAACATCTAAGGACTGCCGTTAAATTATTCAAAATGCCGAAAAGAAAATGCACGTTTTCTAATGTTTTGAATACTACTAAGCCTAGTAAATGGAACCAGGGTTTGTCCAATTCGCACTGTCCCAGTTTTTTGTTCTATATACGTGTGTCCATAAAGTTACTCTACAATTGTAGTTTTTAATCAGTAATTGTTCAAGTATTTCTACTTAATTTGATACATCCGTGAGGGCCAAAACAATATATGGTATCGATAGACCCTAGCATTTTTGAAAATTTTAAGACTTTATGAACACCCAATATATGGTGAGCCTACGCAAATGCCAAAACGCTGCCATCAATGTGATGTGCCTGATAGAATCCTCTCGCTACAGCCCTATATTTTGACGTACAATAACCCGCAATCGGTCTACAATTTTTTTCGATTGGGACTCAGAGTCGATTGTATGTATTCTCCGACTTCACGGGCCCGATATCAACGGGCACGACTATCGTGTGGTTCGGTAACCATAGCGATAATTATTTGTGACAGCGAAGAGAATTTGGCAAAAGAATCTAGCAGGATTTTGAGGTTGCGGTTACCTAACGTATAGAGCTTTAGACCTTATCACAGTGGTACTGGGTGTCAAAAATAGTAGTGGAAGAACATTCGCGGGCCGTTTGAAGGGAGCGCATACAAGGTGCCGTTACTGGTACGTATGATTAAGATACCAGTATAATTGAATTGTTGCAAATATACACTTGCCTATACTGAGTCATATATAGGGCTGGGAATTTTCGAATACCCGATGATTTTAGAATCGAATCGAATATTTTTTCCGAGTCGAATCGAATCTCGAATACTTGGGAGATATATAATTGTATGTTACTTTCTTGTATTGGGTCCTCCAGACACATAAATTACTGGAAACGATTGCTGAGCGTTCACACACAATAAAAAACACGTTTTCATCAATAACTCACAACAAAAAAAGTCATATGTCAGAATTGGGTTGAAAAAATATGGTTTCAATAAAGAAAAAAATGAGAAATTTACCTCTACAATTGGCGGAAAGAAAAACAAGATGGCGTCGATTCGAAATTTTGCTCTGAACCGATTCGAGCAATTTACTATTCGATTCGAAATGCTCAGCCCTATATATTAATCGTCGCCACTGTTATATCGGGAACACTGCTTCGTTTAAAAATACCCATCGTTTCGATGCATTCATAGCAGGGGTCGGTAACCTCTTGTCGCTCGCCGGCCAAAATTAAGGTTGTAAGTCATTGGCAGACCGCACATATTTTTAGAAAGTTGAAAAACCGAACGGGTGGTACTTTTTATAATAAACATCAAGCAGTGATACATCTCTCTAATAGAACATAGATTTATTTCTTCATTGCATCTCATAAAATCCCATTTGAATATTTTCAGCGTCATTAAACCATTTGCACTTAGCATCAACTTTTCTGCGTTTTGTTGCCGTTTGCTTAATTATAATTAATTTATATGCTCATTAAACGAGTAATTGTGAATTGTATAATTGTTAGGTTATAATATAATTTAGTCTAAATAATATATTCGTCAAAACGAATGTTTTGTTACTATAATTTAGTGAAGCGTCGCGGGCCGGATTATAGTGCTCCGCGGGCCGTAGGTTGCCGACCCCGGATTTATAGATTCAAAGAATAACAGTTTTAATATCATTGTCCTACTAGGAAGGATTATGTCGTGGGTTTACTTCCGCGTTTGCTTCCGTATATTAAACAACGGAGCGATTGTTGATATCACAATTAAGTATCTAGTTCAAACCGGTTCACGCCATAAACGTGTAGCTTTCGGCGTCTTAGCGGTTTTACAAATTAATATGTATTATAGCGTGTTTTGAAACATTCGCTTAAAACAAGGTCTTACCTAAGCCGCTATTGACATTTACGAGAGTTGCGCATTTTTGAATACTCAATGATTTCAGAATCGAATATATTTTCCGGGCCGAATTTCAAATACTTGTAAGATATGTAATTGTATGTTTTTTATATTGTATTGGACCTTTCAAGAACATAAATTACTGAAAACATGGAATCAATCGCTCAAACAGTTCGCTAAGTGTTCGCACACAATAAGAAACATGTTTCATCAATAACTTCCTATGAAAAAAGAATTCATATGTCAGAATTGCATTATGAAAATATGGCTCCAATAAAAAGGGAGATTCACCTCGACCTTTGGCGGACAAAAAAACAAGATGGCGGCAATTCGGAAAGTTTTGTCTGAACCGATTCAATTAATTTACGTTTCGATGCGAATATTCGATTCGGAATGCTCAGCCCTACATATAACTGTGGCCATATGTAACACATTATAGAAAAAGATTAATTTTTGTGCTAGAAGAGTGCCCGCATAGAGTATTATTGGGAGTTTGCAACGTAAAAAACTTTGTATGGAAAGATAAACATAAATCCAATGAGTTGATGTATTGGATACAACCCAGCCCAGGTGTAGTAATAAGTTGGATGGGCACTGTCGATTTGGTAGCCGCTCACAACAATACCAGCTCTGTAAATATTCATAGCTAGCATTGAATGCTTGTGATGAGCTCCTTGAGAGTTTGAAACGTAGAAAACTTTGTATGTAAAATATAACAGAAATGCAGTAAATTTGATATATTGGACACCCCTACTCCACCCAGGTGTAGTAATAAATTGAAAAGGAAATGCCGAAAAGCTACACACATACAATAAAGTAGCTTTCTTCGTGTCAGTTAGAGTCTTACTGGGAGCTTTTAACGTTAAAAACCTTGTATGAGATTAGTTAAAAATGATATTTGATGCGAGAAATCAGATTTCGTTCCTATAACACCCCAGATAATTCGTTCGAAATCCCAATAATAAATTCATTTCATTCAAAGAACTAAACAAATCAATGGTCATCGCGAATGAAGACTTCTGAATCTCTTGAAAGGTGCTCGGGATCCAGTTCGAAAAACTTTACTTAATAATTTATAAAAAAATATATATGGTCTATGAGATTCTAAAATTTTTCAAAATTGAAAAGGGGATTTATGGATACCAGCTATTGTTTTAAGCCTCACAGATGTATTAAATAAAGTAAAAATACTTGAACAATTAATGATTAAAAAACAACAAACCTAGTTAAGATTTATTGAGAACTGACTTCATAACAGAATTGAAAATTGTAAAGGGACTTTATGGAAACCATGTACAATAAATTTGATCTATAGCCAAATCCAACATTATAAAACGATCGTTTTGTTTCGTATCCGGAGGCGAGTTGTGGAATCCATGTCGTTACTTGTCTGAAACGCTGTAAACATTACAAGATTGATGGCGTCTTGAATGTTCGGGTTGTTAATTGTTATTTTACGAGATCACACCTGAGATGTAATGGCAGTATTCGACTCATTTATCACCGTATTTTATTTAGGTATGAGAATTTTAAATCATTTTAACAAAGCCTAAGAATCCAACTTGCTGTCACGTGGCTGTCGGATAGTCATCTACGGCTAATGACAATTGTCGCGATATATATCCATCCGAACATCCCTATTAGTATTCTGCTTTCAATGGATATATTATGTTGCAACATGATTATTGGACAAAATATCATTGTGTCACATTTTGTTATGTCGTCATATTGCTTTATTATGACGTCACATTTTCATTTTGAGGTCACGTTTTACTATTCGATGGTTTCAGCCCAAAAGGACTTGAAAAATGTATAAAAGATGATAAAGAACTATATATTTTTTTTTAAATACTTTGGTGGTGAATTTGACTTCGAACTTTGTTTAGAAAACCAGCTTTTTTCTTGTAATTTTTAAGAATTAACTCCAAACCAGGGGTGTGCAACATGTGGCTACAACCGAACCCGCCAAGATAATTAGTGTGGCCCTTGTCAACACTCATACTTTCCCCATCAAGCATAGAATCCTAATCCGACAGTTCATATTTAAAAAGGCATGCGTAAAGATACAACATTTTTTGCTCTTGTCGCTGTGTTCAATCTTTCGCCGTTTTGCCCGGTGCCTTC